GTTAGATGTTGCAAAATTAAAATAGAAGTTTATTAGAACAAAAAGCTTCCTGTATGGATTTGTGTTGTAGTGAAGAAATGCATGTGGCAAACTGTTTCATCACTGGCAGAAACACAGTCATTAAGCGGACAAAAGTGACAGAAAGTGAATAACTGCCCATCTCTGGCAACTCTCTTTTGTTCATCATAAACAAAAGCAAGAAACCTCCAATTACCTTTTAAATGGCAGAAGGAAAGTATAAAAAACCCTGAACTGACTGGACTGGATGCATCATCATTTTATACCAGGTAAGAAAGCAACCTAAGGCTATAGAGTGAGGAGCCTCCAAAAGAGCAACCCTTCTCCTATGGAGACAAGCAGTTTTGCAGGAACATGCTGGAATAGAACCTAGCACCAACAGCAGGAAAAGCTGCCGCTGTGAAGATTAATCATGATTTCCCAAATACAACTTAGAGAAGGTAGCATTTTAGAGGACACAAACTCAGGGACACCCAAGATTCCAGGTAACTTCTGCTTAAATGAAAGGTCAGTACTTTGTCCATTTTGTCTCTGCCACTTGCTCACGAAGCACCTCTCACCAAAACATAGCTGAGGGTAAACATGGCTTACCCATTCTAAATTTGAGCACTGCCACAGTTACCCATTTACCACCACCCAGCCCGGATCACTAGACAGGTTTGTCTCAGGCTTAGCCAGAGATAATTCTGCAAGTGTTACACTAAGAACAGAGCAGTTCGACATCACCAGTAGGTGCCAATTGATCTCCATCAACCAGTGGGTGCCAACTGATTCTCCAACCTCCAGCTTCTACCCAGCATTAGGCCCACAACTAGGAAGGATACTAACAAATTGAAAAGGCAAAACACTGATACTATGGATTAGAACGGATGAAGGAAACGCTGCTTACCCTGAAGAAAGAAGATGAGAAAATAGACAAAGTACAGAGATGAGTCCTGGAGAAGGTGACCTGAATTACAGCAGTTCATGGGGCGGTACCCTGGAAGGGTCACCCTCCAAGTACATAATTAGTGCCAGGCCTGAGAAAAAAAACACTGTTACTAAGTTAATGTAGCCAAGGGGAGAGGGGGGAGCTTGGGAATTGGGTGGACAGGGCACAGAGGGTACATTTTCTTTTGTAATATAGAAGGAGCAATGATGGAAGAAGCAGACTTTCCTCACCCACAGCCAAGTCCTGGTGAAAATCAAGAGAAGCCACTGTAGATATCAACTCAGAAGACCACTGCTGCTTTGGTAGTGTGGTAAGGCCTGAACAGTGAAGATAGCTTTCAAGGGAAAGATTTTTCTTTAAAAGGTGAAGAACAAAGCTTCCCCCCCACCCCCCTTCCTTCCCTTTTCCCCCTCCTCCCAAATAAAGTGTAAACATTCAACCCCAACACACTGAATTCTGGCTACCCTTTGTGTGGCTGAATGTGCCAAATTTTTGCTAACCTGCATAAAAGAATATTATTCCCATTACGTCTGCAAAAATGTAGAAACAAAATACAGAATTAAAATAGATAAAAGATGAACAATAAAGAGATTAAGGTCTAAACTGTTAAGATTTACTCTAAAAAATTAGTATTTTATTCTAAAACTACATATACAACAATATATTTGTAAACTTAATTTTTCACTCTTAAGGCCATATTATACTGAAGAGCTTGAGTTAGGCTGTGCTGTCACATCAAAGGACACCTGGAAGGAAGCAGGAGATGCAGGAGGGGGGAGAAAGAAGGATGTAGTCTGGAGAGTTCATAAACTATCTCCACTGAAGAGGAAAGAAAGACAAGTTAGATGAACGGGAATGGGGGAAACATTAAAACACATCAACTGTGAAGAAAAGACCGAAAACAGACTTTGCTTGAAAACAAGAACACTAACAGCTGCCCTTACCACACCACACTTAATGAAGACTTTCATAATTGCCTTACTAGTAGGAGCATATCCCCACATGATATATACACACAAATATACATTTGAACAAAAGATGACAAATGATAAATCATGCTAATATATTGCAATTCCTTTAAGCAGAAGTTAAAATATTCTGTTTAAGAATACAAATTTGAGGTCAACAAGCCTTTGAAAAGACATGCTCAGAAGTTGAAAGTTTATGATGGACATAGAAGTCCCAGAGGAGAACTAGTCATATACAGTTCATTACAGTTTTATATCTTAAATGTAACTGTGTTTTAAAAAAACAAAAGATAAGAAAACCAGAAATTACACAGACTCGTTGTGCCTTGCTGTTCTTGAAAACCTTGCCGTTATTCCTTGTTATTCCTAACAAGTACTTCTAGCACCTGCACTACAGAGCAAGTTGCACCACAAAACTGTGCTTAAATTATCAAACAACTTTCAATCCAAGTATACAAGCACTATTTTTGTTCTTGTCTGCACAAATCTGCAAAGGCCACATTCCCTTTCTACTTCCTTGCTCTTCCTTGAATGAACCAGAGCTCCCCCAAAGTAAGGCATTTCTTACCCACAAAGCTCCTCAACCCTAAGGCAAACTGTTGAAATGGGAACCTACCATGAAGCTAAATAAATAGACTCAAGTAAGAAAACACATTCAAGCCACAGAAAACAAAATACAGTATCAACCTACAACTTACACAGTAAGATCAGAAAATAAATTATGACTATCAGCTCAAGCAACAAAGAGTATTACCAACATGACACATCTGATTAACTAAAATTATAGAAAAACCCTTTAAAAGATTTGACCAGTATCTGGATGGATCTTACTTCAACAAAAAACAAACCATTTTGAAACTAAAGAAGGCAGACACGTAAGCCTACATCTGTTTTAAATAAAGAAGTCATCAATATTTCCTTTCAATCAGGAAATATGCATACAGACATGTTTATCAGGCATTCTGAACAGATCCCATATCATTGCTAGCTCCACAGACAACAATCCAATTCTCTCTGCAGAAAGCAGAAATATGGGACAAATATGTGTGAACACTTGAGCAATGAGCTCTGCAATTAAGCTTGCCTCTTCATGAAAGATCATCAAAGCATGCCACCGGGGAAAAAAATGCCTCAGGGGCATAGTTTTTGTTCTGTGATCTTTCTTCAGTGGAATCCCTCCTACATGAATCTGAGAAGAAATTCTACCCTACTGTAAAGAAAAAGCAGAACCAAAGCCAAAACGTATTGTACTGGAAAGAAAATCAGCATCTAGCTAGAGCTAGCTCACTATCTTAGACTTGCAAATTTGCAAGATAGACACGTCTACATACAAGGAGGTGACTGATATACTGCGCTTCACTTTCCTCTAGGCCTTTCAGGGAAACTGCTAAAATAGTCAATGTGTACACTACAGTAACTTAAGCACCTCTCCAAACTCTCAGAACTATGGTGGTTTTGCCATATGCCACGTGTCTGCAACTAGCCCTACCACATGCCTTGATTAGGCAGTCATGATATCTCTGTGAGCATCCTTTCTTTACTCTCAACTTCCACTTCCTTCACTGCAGCTCTCTAAAGCAAAAACTGCCTATTCATCTGTACAACAGCCTCCATTTCTAATTACCGTGTTTTGGATTGTCATAAGCCATATATATTAATCTTATAGCTTTATTCAAGACTGTTGAAGCACTCAACTTCACTTGCATGTTATTATTGGAACATGGCAGGGCTACCAAGTGATCAAAAATAATATTTATTTCAGGTTTTCTGTATACTTTTGCATAGTCAACCACAGTATTTTCCTATTACATTGTTTTGCCATTAGTTAATCTTCTGTGCCAAAATTCTGCTCTGAATGTCAGCTGCTGTGCCACACAATGCTACTACTACACATACTTGGAACAGTGTAGGAAGAAGCAAAACCCACTTTTTTCCAAATAATGGCTGATAACTGAAAGCAGGCCCTTCTCACTCTCTGGACCTCAATTATGATCAAGTAATTCGAAAGAAGTAGTTTTCCTAAAAACTGCAGCATAACCCCTTAACAGCAAACAAGCTTAATTACTCATATTTCCAGTCTCCATGCAGTTTAAGATTGCACAGGACTACAACAACATTCCTAATTCAAATACCAAGAGTGACAAGTTTTGAAATTTAGTTGTCAATTTGTAAAAGTGCTATAGAATATAGACAACAGAGAAATCCCAAGGAATAGAAAATGGACATCCTGCATGATGCAGAGAGGCAGGAAGGAGACTGCCTACATCACAGAAAGTACTGTGTAGCCTTTGCAGCCAATAAATAGGAATAACCTAAGGCTACATGAACCAATCTCTCAAATCTCCAACATCAAAAAGTGCATAGCTTCTTATTTCATTTTATTACTCAGTAAACAAGAGAAATGGTTACAACCAAGGTGTGTTACGAGTCAAAACAGGACCTGAATATGGTGCATCACAGCTTTCATCCTGAAGAATTCAGCATTTTATTTCTTGACTACATTTCTGTGTACCAAATGCATGCAGTTGTGATATAAAGCCAGTCCTTTTCCCCTCTGCAGCCACAGACTTGGCTTAGTACCTTTCCAACCATATCGTATCTTCCCAGGTTTTAGACAGGCTCTAAACCCATCACACATTCCAACTTCTTCTCCCACATTAATGAAAGAGATTATTTTGTACTAGAGAAGAAGCAGCTGGGGAAGGAAAGTGTCATTTGAACATGCACTGGCAAATGATACATTATATTTCATGCAAGATACTGTGTTTCTATTATAAAAAAGAAAAAGCGGTTGTGCGGTTGGGGAAAGGCAAAACATCAAGAAGCAATGATTTTTTTTCCAATGATGCTCTTATTTCTTAAGAACAGAAATGGCAGTAGGAAGGAAAAAACCTGAAATTATGCAACTTCACTCACACACCTTCTGGACCTTAGAAACTCTCTTACTATGTGATTCTTTACTGTAATTACATTAGTAGGATGATTATTCAAGAGAAAAGAATTGTTTTTATCTTGCTGGTCTAAAAATTGAGTATAAAAAATTGAACACAATCAGCAGCTGATGTAAAAATTTAAGTACTTACTGCGTAGGAGCCTATGAGGAATGCAGCGTTTGCTTGCTTTTTCTGATCAAAGCCAGTATAATGAATTATTTTCTTCCTTATCAATGAAAATGACTGTATCAAGAAATGCACAAGATTATGATTTTGCATTTTACACCTTCTTTTATAAAATCAAAAGAATGCAAGAATTTGTTTACCTCCTTTCATCCAGCTGTAGTCAGAGAACAAAAAATACTGTGGAGTAGTGCCTCAGAAGCTTTGGAAAACTGTATTGCATCCCTACCTAGATTTTTCCAGTATTTTTCCCAGTATCTAGCCTAAATAATTTTTGATAGAAATTACTGAAGTACTTTCTTTTTCTTCTTAAATGCATTTGTAATTTTAGCTAGCATTTTTTACTTCAAGCCTTATACAACAGATAGCCATTTATGAAAATAGAAAGTGGCATTCTTAAAAGCATCACAGGTATATTAAAGTTCAAAAAAATTTTAAAAACAGAGCTTACACCTTTTCATTCATTTTTCAAACCCAAATGTAGATAAATCCACTAGTATTTGTTTCTAGGGATCAGAACCATGCTTAGATTAAAATATTTTGAAATTATTTCTAAACTTTATCATAAATACTTTTTTTAAATGTCATCTTGGCTTGGCATACAGTTTCTCCATTTATTTTAGAATGTGGGTGGAATGGCATTTTCAATAGAAAGGACACACACTTGTGGTGGCAGTTATCCCCTAACTAGCCCTTGAAATAAATTCTGATGTGCTTGAAACTGTGCACTTTGATCAACTGCTGTCATAAAATGTCATCTTATGCATTTAAATAGCAATGCCACTTGTTCAAGATACTGGATTCAATGCATTGAAAATGAAAAAAAACCCCAGATCAGTAGCAGAAATATGTTCTCAGAAATCTTAACATGTCAGACACAAGACGTGGAAAGGGACTAAAACATAGAGTTTTGTTGCTTCAGAGCACACAGTATACAAAAAATCAGAGAATCTCATCCTGTTGAACATGGTTACTCAAGAGGGAGTTTACCACCTCCCAGCCTGGACCACTAAACAGGTTTATCTCAGGCTTAGCCAGAGACAATTCTACTAGTGCCCAGTAAGAACCAAGCAGCAACATCACACCCATAGGTCCCAATTGCTTCCACAACCTAAAGAATAATAAAGCAAGTCTGAATTCTGCAAACTATTATCTGTGACAGACATCAAGGAATGAAAAAGAAAAAAAAACCTTCTTATTCCATAATGTGCTGTATATTTCCTACTTTTCACAGTTCAGTGGCATTGTAAAGATCTAAGTAGTTTTGAAGAGGCAAACCATTATTGACACTAACAAAAATAAGTTTTTTCATCTGCCAAACAGGTTTTATACTCCAACATCTACTAAAGGTCAACTAACTTGTAAGTTGTGTTAATTAATTTAAGAAATCAATTTTAAACACACTATGCTTTATCAAGAGCCCAATACCAAAAATTACTCAGTTCCTGTAAGAGAAAATAATCTGCAGTACAAGCAGAGCAGCCTCCTTCAGGCCAATGCTATCAGTGCTACTAAAGATAAAATGTCGTTAATTATTGAAGAATCTCAGCATCAGAAGAGAAGACCAAATCAAACTAAAATAATTTCAAATAAAAACATAGCAATACACCTTCTAGGTCACTCAATACTGGCAGATTGCCAATATGACAGAATTCCAGGAAAAAAGCTTTTCCTATATAAGAGGCTGTATTAATTTAGCTACTGGTCTTCTAGAAGCTTAATGATAGTTACTGCCACAGTTGTGTATCTTCTGTAAATGAGTGAATGGGTAAGTAAGTAAGTTTTCCACCCTGATCCTCCTCCTCCCTAAATTCACCTGACAAAAACATAGCATTCATATTCAGAATTCAGCTGGATTAGGAAAACAGAACGTACCTGATCAATAACAATAACAATAAAAGAAATGTTGGCCTACTTGTTTTTTTAAAAGGCAGTAATATTGGCTTTTGAATCAAAACTCCAAGCATTACCTTTAATTTCCTGTTTAGCTTGCAGCAGTATCTGTAGACCATTGCCAGATTGAGTGGTCCAAAGTCTGCATAGAAACTGTTAGAAGAAAGGATAAAAATTGTACATGACCCCTGTAAATGCCTTTTTTTTAACAACATGCACAAAGCAAGGAGTCATAATTACATGTGATATACATATATTATTCTAAAAACAAGCATGCATTCTTACATAAATACATACTGTTTTGTTGGAGGAAATGTTTTGTGATCTTAAATATGGACTAAAATTCTTTTGTTTTCCACACAGCACCATTCAAAACCAATACCCAAGACTTAAAGAACTAGTTCTCACTACTGTATCGCTCTGTGACAAAAGTTTTTAAACTCTATTTTAAGAGGAACTAATAAGCTTTACTTTAAAAGAAGGCAACTCATGCTAGAGAAAAGGAAACACAAAGAATAAAGATTTATTAGTGTATTAAAAAACAGCAAGCATGCCCTTGATCAAAACTTTTTGAAGAATTAGCAACATTCCACATCATGTAAAATACAAACACTGGTCACTACAGGGGAAATAATATATCCATTGTCAGCTCATAAAGGCTTGAATTGACTTTGCCATTTTCTTCTCTGATTATAGGAAGTTCAAACATTCCACTTAATACATGAGGAACCAAAGACTCCTTTTAGTCTGGCAGTACAATGTGCAGTTCTAAATTTATATGGCTGTATCATGTTTCTGTGTCTTCTAACAAGAATGGGTACAATGAAAACTTCTGCTTTGAAAATGTTTCTAAGAAATCCTGATGGGAAAGCATGAAACCCTTCAAAAGCCTATAAATCATCATGGCACATAAGTTTTAGAAGACCAAACTCATGTAATTAATTCTCCAATGAGACTAATTCCTCATGCTGTTGTTCTGACTAATTTAGTTCTGTAAAAAAAGGAAAACAAACCTATCTTGGTACTTACTTCTCATACACAAGTTCATCATCTATGCAGAAGTAATGGGTATTTGCAGCTCCACTCTTTGGTTTTTGGTAAAGAATTGCAAAATAAAGGCGATCTGAAATGCAAGAAAATCGGAAGCTTTTATAAACATCATGATTTTCTGCTGAAAGTCTGAAGTATTACTTGTTAATGGGACAGCATTAAAAGGTTTAGAGTGAAGAAAATGTTCTTTAAGTATTAAACTAGATATCATTATTTCTCCAATGTTAAACAAACAAGGCACACAAAGATTGAGGCTTTTTGTTCAGCAGCATTCCCATGCTCTTTAGTGTTCTTTCCCAAAGTGTTCCTTGTTTGATGACTTTGCAAAATAGCAGGAGCCTGACTTGCACCCACACACCCAGCAGACACCTCCTTTGGCAGGTTTGGTTGCACCCAAAATACCAATGCATACACACCACCCCTCAAACTAAAGCACAGGTCCCTCTGCACCTCTGACTCCCTACATTAAACTAAATGATAAAGCACTGTCACACCAAACACAGGAACTCCTTTATGTAAAGCCATGATTTTGACAGTAGTGCCATGCAATTAAAGCCTGCAGGTAACAGACTTGGGAGGTATCCAACCAGGCAGCCCATGCTGCCCATGGGAGCACCAGCCAAGCCCCACCTGGATATCTCCAACTGAATTCTCATCCCCATCCCAGCTGTCACTTCAAAGCCTGTGTGCCTGCAGGCAGGAGATACCTTGTACTTGCCCTGGCTTCCTTCGTTAAGCTGAGGGAAAAAAACACCAGCGGTATTCACATATATATAAATTACTTTTATGGCCAGGGAAGCTGAAGCCCCAGTGAACTTTAAACAATGACTGTGCTCCTGCTATAAATTGCTGTGCTTGGGGTAATTGGTCAATAAAAATTGAGACTTGCAGCACCACCGCAATACTTGTCTTCCTCCTGCTGAGAAAATATCATCATAAAGTATTTGAATTAAAATTCAGACCTAAAAGGAAAACTTTTTTTTTCTTTTTTTTTTTTTGCAAATTAATTCCCTAGAACAGATATTATGTAAGTATCAAAACAGATCACATGTATGTGTATATATATATATATATCACTTCAAGCTTCAAAACAACATCATCCATGACCACCACTTAGAAATCATCACCTGTATCTTGAAAATACATATCCAGACATGCCCTGAAAGGAATTATCATATCTATATTTCAACAGTCACAGGCTTAGTGCTCACCTACACACCCTAGTATCTCAAGGGTGAAGGCAGAAAGGTCCACCAAAAAGAGTGCATTTTCTCATTACTTTTTTCAGTAGAACAGTAGCCTGATGTGAGTGTTTTGGCTTAAACATGTACAGGTCAGGAGCAACAGTGGGATATACAGTACCTCCTAAGCAAGTCAGGCACCTACCTCCTTACTCTCTAGCAGAAGCAAGGCACCAAACTTGCTTATTTAATTTCTAATAGTCCCATTCTGTAAGCAGAGCAGCTTCAAGTACTAGATGTGAAGTGCATTACCTGCTTCTGTACTTCCCAGCACTTACCAAATCATTCCCTGAAAACAAGACAAAGGATAAAATTTAGAGTAATGTGTGCATTTTTAAAACGTGACTAAACTGGTTCACAAAGTGAATTATGTATGGAGAAGCAAGCATACTGATACTTCAGCTGGGTGCAAAATATGCTATGGCAAAAACTGCTTCGTAGAGAGGCAGTCCTGGGAGTGGATTTTTTGGAGGTAGTTCCCCACCATTGTGTTAATCACTGAGCTCTGTCAAGGTGGATCTGAATGAATTAGAAATCGTAACAGGCATCCCTGGGCAATACTAAAAAAAGAAAAAAAGAAAAAGAAAAAGAAAAAGAAAAAGAAAAAGAAAAAGAAAAAGAAAAAAAAAAAAAAAAAGAAAAAAAGAAAAAGAAAAGCATAAACAAAGAAAAAGAAAAAGAAAAAGAAAAAGAAAAAGAAAAAGAAAAAGAAAAAGAAAGAAAAAAAAAGAAAAGCAGAAAAGAAGGTAAAAAGCTGCTTTGCTGACTTCTCTCTGCTCTGAGAATGAGAGCTAATGTATGCAGGAGAACTGAGGGCAAAGGAGGAAGCAGAAAGGAGAACTGAGAGGACGTGATATCTAGGGATTGTATTTAAACTGGCATTGCTAGATTAAACACATGTCACTGCAGCCCCAAGCTATATTTTCACACCACTTCTAAACTGATTTAATGGCTAGCTACCACCAGGTTCCTTAGAAGGAAAAAAAAAATCTTCTGAGTTAGCTCACTGAATGAGCCTACTGGGGTTTAAGAGCAGGAATATGCAGCCAAAATTTTTCCCTCCATGGCATCCATCCTTAAGTGCCAGTCTAATTATTGACTAGACTGAGCTCTCCCTCTTAATTGTACACAAACAATGACCACATCAAAGTCTGGGAAGAATGGCGGTAGTACTCAAACCGAGTTCCTTGGGTACTCAAACGCTACCTTTTTGCACTTCAGCTTCTTCAAAGAACCTTTATATCACTTCTGAAAATATAAAAGTACTTTGCAAAGAGCGATCCAAAATCTTCAAATAAAAAAGAAGGACAAAAATGAAAGTAAATATAATTTGCACAGGTCAAATACCTAAAATAATTTAGCATTTTGCTCCAAAACAGGATTTGGAATACAAGAATCACTTTCATCCTCAGTGCTTGTACTGTTACTGAAATGCTTCTGCAGCTTGCAAAAATGTCCAGTAAAAATAAGAATTCCTGTCTTGAGCAAGCAGTGTGTATGTGGCCTTCAGAATTGCTATTGGCAATGGCTCTGCTCTGGTATCTCTGAACTGTTGTTCATTGTTGCTATTCTTAAAACACCTGAAAGAAACTTGAGTTTAATGAGTTTGCAGAAGTACCTCACAACAAGAGCAGTGTGTGTCAAATGCCAATATCCTGACAAGCTGTCCGTTCCTGTGCACTGCTAACAATTACTCCCTATTATGTAAACAGCAGGCTCCATCTTTTTAACATGTTTCCTATAGGTACATTTTAGAATGAAGAAATTTCCTGTAAGTGTATTTACCCTTCTACTGATTTACCAGTCCAGCATCTGACAAATGCTGTATTACTCACCACGTCTGTTTTTACCTGGTTTTTTTCCAAACACATTCCAAGTTCCATTTAATCAAGGATTACTGTGTCGGTTTTTTTTAACAGAAATTAAGAAAAAGGAGAATGCCTTCATTAAGGATCTGATTGCAGGATTGAGAGTTTATACATAAAATACACTCAAGCACTGATGATTTGATTTCACTAGGATTCCACAAAGGTTTGGACTGCCAGGAGCAAGGCTTCACTTTCATTATCTTCGTGTTTCCTTTGCTAATTTTAGCCCTTTAGTATTTCATTTACATATAGTGCACTTGAGCACTTCCTAATTCCTGCAAATTTCTGATAAAAAATCATGCTAAAACTATCAAACTAGAGCAGACCTTTCTAATCATCTCTCAGAAGGATGACAGAGTAGGGCTCACTGCCTTACAGGCTGCATCTGCTCTGCAATTAAGAGATATGGCTGCAGCATTTTAGATATACTTCAAATACACTTAATTTTGTCAGCCTTATATAACAGAACAGTTAAAATACATAAGCATGGATGTCACTGCAGGCATTTAATTTGAGTAAGCATCCAATGTACAACCAAATGAGCCTACATACCCCCGGCTGAGGCATAGGTTACCACAGCTGTGTTAGTGCTGGTATGTCTGCTAGTGAGACTAAAGCTAGCACAAGCATGGCTGTCCAAGCTGATTGCAGAGTGAAGGAAAAACACTCTGCTTGTTTATCAGAGCCACAGTGCTCTGTAGAAATAGATGTGTAGAAAATTGAGAGCTACCACTTCAAAATCACATTAATGTGAATTTGGAGATGAAAAAATAATCTCCTTCCTTTACTCTCAACAAGCCTGATGCTTCTCAGGTTGTGCTGCACAGGCCTTCAAGAAAGAAAATTAATTCAAGAATTACGGTTAGACTTGATCTTAGAGGCTTCTTCCAACCTAAATGATTCTATGACTTTAAGTGACAACTAAATACGCATTAGTGGCAGGACAAGTTTGCATATGATAAGCAAAAATTATTTAATACAAACAGAAATTCCACAGTTCTACTGTTAAATAGTTGCCCTAGATGAGAAACTCAGTGACTGACAGTACAACAAAACCCAGTGTTAGTCTGTTTTGAATCACTGGGAATGTTATCAAAGAGTTTTTACTATTTTAAAAGGAGTGTATTTCTGAATTCAGAGTTGGTATATGGAATTTTGTTGTGTTTGACTTAAAGAACTTCAACATATTTGTTGAAGATTTTCTTTTTAGTCCTCCTATCCTTGAAAAAATTCATTCAGTCATCATCACTATGATATTTCAAATTCAGGTAATGATAGACTTGCCAATTGGAATAACAGCTTGGACTCTGAAAAGGAAAATAAAAGTACACTAAAAAGATAGAGGAACTTTTTTTAAACAAAAAACTATGAAAGCCTTATTTTCAGTGCCATGTCATGACTGATCAACACTGTTACTTCACTTACATAGTGCGCTTCCACTCTGCTGCTCTTGACTGATACATGAGACTGCATATGTTCATGCACTTTCAGTGCTGGATTAGATACTAAAAACCTCAAACTTGTATTTAAAATCTTAACTTTAGAGAAGACTCACAAGTAAGTGAGGTCATATTGATAAAAGAGTAAACACAGTTTTTGTACTGATATATAATAAAATATTATGTCTGCATAATAAAAACTAATTGAAAATGTTGAGAGTCAAAATATTGAAAGCTTAATGATACTTATTAGAAGTGTCCTTAGCATTCTAGAAAAATAGTTTTCTATTGGGTACACAAAGCTTATAATGACAAACCAGCACTCCTGGAAAAAAGACAACTTAATGGTTTGAAAAAAAACCAGCAAGCTGCAATACAAAACCAAAACAACAATGCACATATCAATGGATACATTAAAATTAATTAATTATCAACTCCAACTGACTATACAAGCAAAATGATTCTCAATGAAGAAAAACAAAATAGGTATGTACACTGTAGCTTAGAGCATCCTTAAAGGTGTTCAATTCTTTAAACAAACTGGATATACATTCAACAGGAAAAACAAACATTGAGAAATTAGCCATGACACTATGTCACTTAAAATTTAATTCCATGTATAGCTATTGTAGTTATTTCAGTTTAGAATTTACTATACAAAATAGGTGAGAGAGAAACCCACACCTTTTGCCTGAAGTTTATGCACTGTAATCCACCTCTTCTTTAAAATGTTTTTTATAAAATAAGAGCAATGAGAAAGAAAAGCAGCTGAGGAAAGGAAATAAACAGCTTCCAAGCATCTCACAGAGCATTGTTACATTTTATTTAGATCATATAAATTACTTCTCTCAGAGATCAGAAGGATATGGGAATATGCTTCTAATAAACAGACAAAATGCATTCAGTTCCAGCAAATTGGATTCATACCAGCAAGCCTCATGCACTAGTTGACAAAGACAAAATGATAAAGCTTACATTCAGCTTGACAGACTAAAATGAACAACTTTTTAAAAGGACAGCTTTCCTGAACTAGTCTTACTAGTAACCAAGAATATTTAGACAGTTCTAATTAATAGTTATTCTGACATATGGCTGATGCATACAATTAATTGCAAAATAAAGAAATGCAATGATTACTGTAAGTATTGTGGGTAAAAAAATCCTAGAATGGATTTGAAACTTTGCTATCTGTGAATGTAACATCACACAACAAAACATCTATAAACCTTTATAGCAATTTCTGTTTATGTTCTGCTTCTGTCTTTTGCAAAGATGAAAATAAGGATAGCCAGCAATGTTCTTAATAAGTTTGGCACTGTTTCTGTGAGCAGATAAGCTAACACAGACATCTCAGCCTTCACAATGGTTCAAATATTTACCAGTATGTCCATTTTTAAGAATAAGACATTATGCTTTGTCTCCAGTACACAACTATTAATTAACTTCTTAAAACTGAGAAGGCAGAACTGACATTTAAAACCTTGACAGAACTGTAAAACAGCTGAACAAAAAGGTAAGCCTGTTAGCTTATTCTTTTAAGATTTCTCTTTTAAAAAAAACAAGCAGCAAACTAAACATTAGACTATAATTCAAATCAGAACTAAAAACTGGACAGTAAACAGCAGCCACTGCACACAGCAAGATCAAGACAAAATGAAGTATTGTTAAATATAATAATCAAATTTACTTTAATCAAAGTAAAGTAAATTAAAGTGCACTTTAATCAAATTTACTATACTTGGTGGTACTGCTGCACATGGTGAAATCCCATTGAAAAAACCACAGGTCAAAGCCTAGGTGGTGTACTGAATTTAAATGGGTGAACACTTTCCTGAAGGAGAAAATACAGTAATTTAATGGGCTTGTTGATGCCAGACACATGTTACCAGGTCAAAGCAACTGCTCCATGAGAATGGTTAGACCTGTTTGCTGGAGAGAAGGCTGCATGGTAATACTGGTAGGAAAATCACTTTGATACTAAAAAGTCATTATCTGTTACACGAGGGGATTCCACAACTGACCTTAGAAACCATACTATCATCATGTCCTATATGAACAGTTGCTGCTATAGAAACAAAACACATGTGGAGTTGTTGGAACTTTAGAGTTCTGTAGATAAGTACACCATTATGTTTCTCAGTGGAGATTAGGCCTCAAATGCTGAATTTTTGGCTGGAATATTTAGGATTTTACTCCCTGACAGTATTAAAGCTTTTTAAAAAGAAGAATCTGGTAAGCTTTGGCAGTTTACATTCCTTCTACGTTGCTATGCCAAATTTTCAAAACAAAATCTTAGGGTTTTCTAAACATACTGTTATGTAGGAGACACACGAGTTAATATAAGGAACCATGCTTTTGGCACAGAAATAAAAGGCACATTGGTGCCTTTTCTGTATGTTTGCTCTGTATATTTTTGCTTGCTCTGTCCACAGATATTTTCCACACCCTTCACAGAGACGTGCCGGGAGGTATATTTCTTTCTTTTTATGAGAAGTTGTAAATACACTAAAATTGTGAGATCATGACATATGACTTAAAAAGCAATTCTTGTTGCTTTTGCCTTTAGGCAAACTAAACTCAAGCCCATCTTTCAGCTGGCGAAAGCTCAAACCTATACACAGAATCTTCTGGCTGTGATCCTACAGGCTTCTTAAAAGAGGCAGACTCATGTGCCAAAACAAAGCGCGGCTCGGAGCCTGGAGTCACGAAAAGGAGGGACGACACTGAGCAATCCTGCCTGCACAAGCTGTTGGCACTTGCATGTCAAGGGGAAGTGCGACCATTATTTTACTCATTAGCCAGCAAGCCCGATATTACGGCATCAGGAGAAACAAATACCTACATCTATCTGTACATGTATCTATCTGTATAGACACGGACAGGTTAGACATAGACATATTTGGGCGTGCGCGTGTGTGTGTATACATTTTCCCCGATACATGGAGAAACACGCTACTTTTTGCCACCCCACAAGGTGTTGAACGGACAGAAACGTGTTTAACGTTGTTTCCCGTTCACTTCTCCGGCAGGCAGAAGATGCCAGCAAGAGGCAATGGGTACGGCTCGGGCTACCGGGACATCGGCAGGATGAGTTATCCCGCCGGACGAGCGGCGCAGCTCCCAACAACACTCGGCTGAGCGACACGCCAGCGCTCCGGGCTCGGGGACGGACCGGCCCACCGCCCGGACAGCAGCGGCTGCCCAGCGCCCCGGGGTCCCGCCGGGAATCGCGCCACTGGAAGTTTTCCTGCCCACCCGGAGCCGGCGGCACGGGACACCGCGCCGGGACACCCGGACAAACCCGCCCCCCGGCACACCCCCCTCACCCGCGATCCTCAGGCAGGTCTCCAGACCGCTGCCTTCCCCTGCCTTCCCCTGCCTTCCCCTGCCTTCCCCTGCCTTCCCCTGCCTTCCCCTGGCGCCTCGCAGCCCTCCAGGTGCCCCTCCCGACACGTACCAAAAGAGGAGCCCCAGGACTTGGTACTTCGTAAAGCCGACTCAAAACAGTGCCGCGCATGCAGGCTTCTGGTCTGAGCGTTAAGTGGACTTCTCCGGAAAGTTTAAACAACTGCGTTTGAATCTGCCTCTTAGATACAGTGATACTTTAAAATACACAGTTACTTTAAATGGCCATGGCACTAAACCAAGCTAGCAGGTAAAACAGCTTCTGAGAAGCACTCCCTCCCCACCTCCGTCTAATGGGCACGATGAGAGCCCCTGAGGAAGTATTCTACCATCTGCCGAGCGCGTGTATTTATGCAGGAAAACCTGCTGGAAACACACTAGTTGCCACTATTCACTGCGTGACTTTTTAAAAACTATCCTTTCTAAATAACACCAGAGACCTAAAATTCTTCTGACACTTCAGAAACATTCTTCCAAGGCTGGCTGTGGCCATCGTTGTTCCAATTAATTATGAATGTGGGAGTCATTGTCTCGTAGGGGTCAAGCAAACTCTCACAAGCTGTGGCCAGATGCAAAAGGCAGGGCCTGATTAGGACACCTCAGCTCTTCTCCTGAATCCTCCTCTTTCTTCCTCTCTCCTTTTGTTGGTCTGCACTTTGTGAGTCTTTCTGAAGAAGTGATTTTGCTGGGATAACACAGAGGTTGTGGTATGGTTCCTGTCAGTATTGAAATAGTGAGGGTAGATGACTTCAACCTAAAGAGTTGTAAAACTACAGTTTAATTACTTTCAATACATTTTAATAGTCCATACTTCTTTTAGCTGTACTTAATTTTTTTTAATGTGCTTATTAGGACCAACAGAACTATTACCATTGTATATTCTTTTAATTCTACTAAAAGCAAAAGAAGCAGGAAGGCAGCCAGAACATTTCCTTTAAAATCAAAAGCACCAAGAACAACTGCAAAATAAAGGTGGAATGAGAATCCTTAGTCCTTAGCTGTGATTATCAGCTGAATGAAGTAGAGTGGAAGCACTACAAATAAACTGAGTATTTATCATTCATTGTCTTTGAAAATAATTTTTCTTTGTTTATTGTCTTTGAAAAGAATTTTTCTTTGTTTTACAAACATATGACCAATTTTCCAGCCTGCTTTTGGCTGTTTAAGTAACATAAGGCAGAGCAGCAGAAGCATTCCAGAGTTCCTAGCATGCTAAAAAATATTGTTGAGCTGGGGGAGTGCTGGAGGGAGGAGGCAGCTCCTTATTCGAGACTGTAGGAACAGTGGTTCATGAAACGCAGACTTCACTCCCCTGTGAGCCTGAGCTGCCTGTCCCAGTCTGTTATGCTGAGTCTCTGGGAAGCCTCTGGCCAGCCCCGAAATCACAGGGGTTCAGAGTCTGCACGTGACTACCTTTAGCCCTGAGCCGAGTGCTGTTTAGTCAAACCAGGGAACTGACAACTGTGTTTTTCCATTAATAAAATCCTCCTTCTAAACACATAATATCAAAATAGAGTTGTAATGAATAAGTTGCTGAGGCATATCTTTAATAGAATTGCCTTGTTCAGTATTGTTATATTTCTTAAGCAAGCCTTTTATTTTTCATCAAGGAACAGTGCACTTAATTTCACATGTTCTTAATGGTGTAAAGCTTTCCAGACCTTGCTCTGGGCTTGCCAGTGACCTTAATGGATCCAGGAATAAACGTCTTCACAAAATGCCATTTCACAAGTGCATTAAAGCTTAAAAGGGGAGAAAATTTGCAGTTGAGACATGTAAGTATAGTAGCATTTTACAGTGACGGTCTAAGATCAAAGGCTGCAGAGAAAGATACGCTCCTCCATAAATCTTGGACCATTTTTTTTCCAAAATGCTAAAAAGAAGTGTATCCTAGATGAAAGAAGGCATGTCTACTTTAATGAAACCAACAGATGTTGAATATAAACATCTGTAGATAAATGAACAATATGAAATACACCAGAACTGCAAGCCAGAAAGAATGCTGTTATGCTTACTTCAGTTGTCTAAGAAATAACTAAGAACAGTTTATTCTGAGACCTCTTGCTCTGAGAGAAAATATGTACATACAAAGGAAGAATTCTGCTGCAAATTTTCATAGGAACACAAATAATTTGACTTACTCCAAAACTGATAATCTGATACGATGCAAATTTAAGACACACCTCTCTCTGGTCTTACATGCCCATATTTTTGTATCACACAAAAGAATTGCAGACAATACAGGATGATGTATTTAAAATATTTATTTGAATTTGTGAAGTGTGTTTCATAACTTCTGCCACTGCCAGATATAAATGAAGTCCAGGTGTTCAAAATTGTGACTTTTCAAAGTGTATTTCAATACAAAATTGTCATATAGTGCTGGAAGCTTTAAAACAGTGCTGAAAAGTCTTGCATTGAAAGCCATTGTTGATCTGCTGAAGGCAAGAACCCCAAAGTCTTCCTGAGCAAAATCTGATTTCTTACTTTAGTGCCCCTTGAACAATGATGTTTAAAAAAACATTAGCAAGTTCATCTGATGTGACAATAATAAGCTCCAGGATTTTTTGCAGTCAGTCTCAGCTGTGTCTTAGTTTTCATTATCTTGTACTCAACAGAAATAGCACTTTTGTATCCATCTCTAGTGTCAGGTAGTTTATTCTATGGTCTGATTTTCTACATAAGGTTTCAGATGTCCCAGAAAGAAGCAACAGAACCAATGCTGTTGTAATTCACTGGAGAACTATTCTTGTAGAGCACAAATTGAAAGAAAAATATATATTAAGTCAGTGTCATATGTCAATAATCTGGGGTTTGTTTGAGAAATTCACTGTTTTAACTCCTGCCAGCTGCAAGACTGTATTAATGGGAACATGATCCAGCCTGTTTTTATCAAGGTGCAAAAAATGAACTTCATTGCCTGGAATGAGAATAACATATAAATTATTGAATAACGTATTTATTTATTCAAAGATGTAAGTGAATTGAAGCAGCATTCTGACTACCTACCAGTTATCATACAAATGTGTACTAGTTCTGTAGACTGCACAATATTCTGTATTTTAAACAATGGCAAAATGTTTTTTAATTATATTAAAGGAGCAAGGAACATTGAGGCACTTAACTAGTTTAAATCTGCTGTAGCAGGATGTTTCCTAATAATGTGATGACTGTCATGTTGCAATTCCCCCTTCATGCTCTATCCCTCTAATAAAACCACATTAAATGTGGTTAAATTAAATTTTATTAAATGTGAAAGCAACATGTAGGTAAATACCACAGTATCAAGAAAACCCTCCAAATGTTGAGGCAGTTGTTCCTTCGGCAATCCAATCAATTTTTTCAGGGCTCTGATCAGGTTTATACCACCTCTGTGGGAGATGGGACTACACAATGACACTGCAGATTTCTCCATGGGACAGAAATCACACAGTTCAACACCAGACTGTCTCCTTGGGACCCACAGGGACAGAAGGCGAAATGGCAGCAAACAGCTGAAGGAGACAGTGGTAACTTTCACACAAAACAAAGCAGCTCACCTGGGCCTATAATCAAAGCTCCTCCCTGCTGAGCAGGGTCTCCTTGAAAATCAAAAGCTGGGCTAGTCATTGCTCTCCATATACTCCTAATGCTTCCCAGAAAAGTGTTTGATTTCACATGAGGGCTCCGAACTAAACAAAATCACAAAACACTTGTTATCTAGAAATATGAAGGTATATAAGAGCAACAACAATTAACAGCTGATATGAATACTTTATATATCCCTGATTACCAGCATTTTCAGAAAATATAGCCTATGAGAGACAGTCTGGGGGTAACTCAGTTTCTCTTTACATTGTGATCATACTATTTTATGAAAGCATTTTTATTTTGTTTTGTTTGTGAAAGTCTAAATAAGGTGAGAAAATTATTCTTACCTGATGCTTTATTACCTTCACCTCTTTTCATCCCAAGTATTTTATAAATTTCCCTTTGTGGATCTACATACATTTCATGTGTATACCCAGTTAAACTGCAAAAGGGCTGCAAAATATAGGCATAGACACAGAGTGACACAGAAAAATAAAGTAATATTTGTAAGGTTAATGCAGTAACTAGTTAGGGTCTACTGACAACAGCAAAAATACTGACATCCTGCCAGCTCCATGCTCCCCCCTCTTATTTGAAAACTATGTATTTGTTAGTTATGTTAAAGTGGAAAATTTTTAGCCTCAAAGCTTCTATTAAAACAAAGCTTCCAGTGAAATCAAGAAAATATGTTTCCTTAGCAACCCCTGGTGGTTTTTAAACTGCAAGTTTTAATTATTTGCTTTAGTCATGTATTACTGTTAGAATTGTCTTATGAATACTCTCCTTTTTTATTTTTGCAAAAGACCACCTTTTCATGCAAACCAAATCCCTCAATACAGACCATTAAGACATAATAGAGGATACATTGTATTTAATGACTACTTTATTTACCTTGATGTGATGATATGATGACTGTCCAATAACTATAAGCCTCACATTTGATTCCTAGAACAGAGCATGGGTATTGAAGCTGTAAAGAGGAACTGGGTGCTCCTACAAGACTTCAAAACATTAACAGAATCTGGTGTGCCGAGTTAGTGATCGCAGTGCACTGACTTAAAATTATTTGACATTAACATAACTTCAATGTTTGGAGACTGTACTTTTGTGTATCACCCACAGTTAGTAGCTACATTAATTTTTTAAGTGAACCATTATTTTTAAAGATAACTTTTAAATTACAGTTGGGTAAACTTTAAGTTTCCTGTAGCATTTGTAGGATTGTCTTTTCAATTAATTGCAACATGATATGATTTTGGAAACTCAAAATTTCCACTCAGTTGCACCTACATCTAAAGAAGAAGCACACAAATGATGATCGCCAAACATCTAGTATTTACATATATGGACCCATCAGTAGATACAACTTGCATTTATATGCACTGCTGTTTTTTGCAGGTGCAGCCTTAGGCCTGAGTCTGTAAAACAGAGCCCAAAACTGAAGTTCATTTAAATATCACTAAAAGCAGTTCATAAATATAAGGTTGTTTTATTATATATTTGCCTTTCCCATATGGAATAATTTCCCATATAAAATAATTT